ATTGATCAATAACAACACTGCACTAGCCAAGGACTCGAACCCATGCTGCTTTGGCCTGCCTCATGGTGAGCTACTCTTAAGGATCGTATGGTCCAGTGGATTAGGGCGGTATGTGTTTTTGCCCACCATGAGGCAGGCCAAAGCAGCATTGGTTCGAGTCCTTGGCTAGTGCAGTGTTGTTATTGATCAATACTACTCGTTCGTGGTCACAATAAATTATATATATATATATATAATATAATATAATATATATATATATATATAAATATATATATTTTGTTTAAAAAGCTTTTTGTAACATTTACGAAATTGGGATTAAACTTTATTGGAAAACTGTATAGCCAACATAATATAGTTAAGGTTTATAGAGGATAATGGAAGAACATTATGTACATGTCTATACAAACTAATAGTTCCTACATAATTCCAAATGAGCAGGAACAAAAACAGTTTTTTACAGTTAGAACTTATCCTTATGACTAAGACAACTTACCAACAATAAAGTCGTACTTGGAAACGAGGGGACTGGAGAGGTCGTAGTCTTTGTGAACAGAGTTATTGATGACTGCGAGCAACAGGAGGCGCAACAGAGGCAACATTCCACTAAGAATCAGTCCTCTGCCCGCCATCATAGTACCATAATTCGTCAGCAGTGCCCTAGTGACTCGAAGTGTAGGCCTCATCCTGCTTCTCGGGGCCTCCCACAAGCTGCAAAACACGAGTAATGCCAACTATCCCACAGTTTGCAGAGGAAATTTTAGGTGGAGGTTTGGTGGTCCAGGACGGACCGAAATGTCATCTCTAGTGCTTCAGATGACATTTATTCATCATTTAAGCAATACGAAAACCGAATGACAATTTACATTAAGCTCATTGTTCTTTATGTGAAATGGGGTATTATATACAGATGTATGCATATAATCCAGTGTAAATACTCTCAGCGTATATACTCTGAGAGTACTTTAATTCCTGTGTATACCTTGAGGGTGTTTCGGGTGCCACCGCTTCTGCGTCCCGGTCCATGACCAGGCCTTACGGGGCATTAGGGCCTGCTTAACCAGGTTGTTAATGGTAGCCGAACGCAAGCCGACGTACGAACTACAGCCCAGTTAGTCGGGAACTGACTTAATGTGCCTGCCTAGCTCCTTGAAGACAGCCAGGGGTCCATTGGTAATCCACCCATATGTATGTTGGGAGGAAGTTGAACAATCTTGGGCCCCTGACAATTATGTGTTGTCTCTTAACGCAGTTCTTGGCCCGCTTGATTTTCATGGGGGAGGGGGGAATATTACACTTCCTGCCGAGTTTTTTGCTTTCGTAAGGACTGATTTCCGTGTGTAGATTTGGGACTAGTCTCTCTAAGATTTTTCATGTATATATTATCATGTATCTTTCTCGCCTGCATTCCAAGGAGTACAGGTCAAGGGACTTCACCTGTTCCCTGTAACTGAAGTGCTTTATTGTACTTATACGTGCAGTGAAATTTATATATATTATATAATAATATATATATATATATATATATATATTATATAATATATATATATATATCTTCTTCAGGTCTGCAATTTCACCTGCCTTGAAAGGGGGCGTTAGTGTACAGCAATATTCCAGCCAAGAGAGAACAAGCGATCTGAAGAAAATCATCATTGGCTTGGCATCCCTACTTTTGAAGGTTCTCATTATCCATCCTATCATTTTCCTAGCAGATGTGGTACTCCACATTAGTTTCTCGCTCTGTTTTGTAGTTGGAATTTGTTTTATACTCTGATCCAGTTTTTAATTCCTCGAGTTTTCCATAGTAAGACATTAAAATAACCTTCATTCTTGTGTACAAGTGAATTTTCAGCCTTATTAACGCCATGTAGTCAACAAGCTTCAAACATATTAATTTGAATTTATATTTAGGATATGTCAAAGAAGCAAGTCAGGAACAAGGAGGGCGGTAGGAAGTGAGCAAGTTATCTTCACTCGCCACTACCGCCCACAGGATAGGTGTGCATCATAAAGATATAAAAATATAAGAAAGGAGGAACACTGCAGAAGGCCTACTGGCCCATACAAACTAAATTAACTAAACTAGCAAGAGATAAACTATTAATGTTGTAGTGGTTCTTGACAGATGTACTCGAGTCAGTGGCCTTCTCGATGTAAACATTGGAATTATTGTTACATAAGACTATTCAAGGGAAAGTACCTTGATGTTGGTGAAAGGCCCTTGATCAAAGAAATTGGAGCTTCCCTACCATTTTTTAATCAATCCTGATTAAATCCCATTCCCAGACGCTGTATAACCTTATGGATTTATTGCTTCACCGTGAATATAATAACTTTAGAACAGAATTAAACGAAGTTAAACTTAATTTTTAATATGTTATAAGCATACAAATTAATTTAACATATTTGTAGAGGGACTGTAATTAGCTCGTCATGAAGTTGTGTGAATATTATTATTATTATGCGATGTTGCTCCTTCAAGGGCTGTACCTTGATGCTGGTGAAGGCTTTTTGATCCAAGGAATTAGAACTACCATTCCCTCTCCTTGGATTAAATCTGATTGCTTCGGATGGAAACATTAGGACGTGTTTTCTTAAGACACCTGTTGTCCCTGTTCACCCATCAGTAAAATGGGTACCTGGGTGTTAGTCGACTGGTGTGGGTCGCATCCTGGGGACAACATTGACCTAATTTGCCCGAAATACTCAGCATAACAAGCGGCTTTCTATATAGTAGTATGTTACTGATGTCAGCTATGGTCTGTATACCTTGTACATGTACTTGTAGAAATAAAGATTATTATTATTATTATTATTATTATTATTATTATTATTATTATTATTATTATTATTATTATTATTATTATTATTATTATTTTTACGGTTTAGGCGCTTCCCCACGAATAGGAAATGCGGTACGTTTGTACCTATGCATTTCTACCAGATTTTCCCATTTTTTTAACAAAAAACTAATCCTTGTGCCAAAATGGTATAAATATACTATACCTTGGAAATAAAGTAATTTCCAGTGGGTTTATTGCAGTTTTATTTGGCTATATTTTATAGTTGTAGCAATGACGTCAAACAGTAGCATTTTGAACACAAAAGAAATATTTACATTAAGTGCAGTAGTGACTTATATAAGTGACGTTCAAGATGTGGGATACTCTCTGTCCTTGATAAATAAACTAGTTGTAAATAGTCCTCCTCTTGGCAGTCCAGTGGCCACCCGTCTCCTATTAATTAATGGAGACAGGTCTTCTATTAATGGAGGCAAGTCTTCTATTAATGGGGACAGGTCTTCTGTTAATGGAGACAGGTCTTCTATTAATGGAGATATGTCTTCTACTAATGGAGACAAGTCTTCTATTAATGAAGACAGGTCTTCTATTAATGGAGACAAGTCTTCTATTAATGGAGACAAGTCTTCTATTAATGGAGACAAGTCTTCTATTAATGGAGACAAGTCTTCTATTAATGGAGACAGGTCTTCTATTAATGGAGACAAGTCTTCTATTAATGGGGACAGGTCTTCTGTTAATGGGGACAGGTCTTTGTTAATGGAGACAGGTCTTCTATTAATGGAGACAGGTCTTCTATTAATGGAGACAGGTCTTCTATTAATGGGGACAGGTCTTCTATTAATGGAGACAAGTCTTCTATTAATGGAGACAAGTCTTCTATTAATGGAGACAAGTCTTCTATTAATGGAGACAGGTCTTCTATTAATGGAGACAGGTCTTCTATTAATGGAGACAGGTCTTCTATTAATGGAGACAGGTCTTCTATTAATGGAGATATGTCTTTTATTAATGGAGACAGGTCTTCTATTAATAGAGACAAGTCTTCTCTTAATGGAGACAGGTCTTCTGTTAATTGAGACAGGTCTTCTATTAATGGAGACAGGTCTTCTATTAATGGAGACAGGTCTTCTATTAATGGGGACAGGTCTTCTATTAATGGAGACAGGTCTTCTATTAATGGAGACAAGTCTTCTATTAATGGAGACAGGTCTTCTATTAATGAAGACAAGTCTTCTATTAATGGAGACAGGTCTTCTATTAATGAAGACAGGTCTTCTATTAATGGAGACAAGTCTTCTATTAATGGAGACAAGTCTTCTATTAATGGGGACAGGTCTTCTATTAATGGAGACAGGTCTTCTATTAATGGAGACAGGTCTTCTATTAATGGAGACAAGTCTTCTATTAATGGAGACAGGTCTTCTATTAATGAAGACAAGTCTTCTATTAATGGAGACAGGTCTTCTATTAATGAAGACAGGTCTTCTATTAATGGAGACAAGTCTTCTATTAATGGAGACAAGTCTTCTATTAATGGGGACAGGTCTTCTATTAATGGAGACAGGTCTTCTATTAATGGAGACAGATCTTCTATTAATGGAGACAGGTCTTCTATTAATGGAGACAGATCTTCTATTAATGGAGACAAGTCTTCTATTAATGGGGACAGGTCTTCTATTAATGGAGACAGATCTTCTATTAATGGAGACAAGTCTTCTATTAATGGAGACAAGTCTTCTATTAATGGGGACAGGTCTTCTATTAATGGAGACAGATCTTCTATTAATGGAGACAAGTCTTCTATTAATGGGGACAGGTCTTCTATTAATGGAGACAGGTCTTCTATTAATGGAGACAGATCTTCTATTAATGGAGACAGGTCTTCTATTAATGGAGACAGGTATCCACTAAGACAGGCCTTTAGTTAATGAAGACTAGCCTCCAATTTCCATTAATGGAGACCATTAGCGGCTAGCAGACACCTCCAACTTTTCTGTGTCAATGTCAATATACCGAGAAATTTATCATAAATGAATGTAAACTGGTAAGCTCGGAGCTTTGGAATGAAGGTACGAATCCAAATGGTTCTCTTCTTGAACTGGCTCATGCTATGACAGGTTTTGATATATGCAGACAGTCTATTCCACTCTTTTATCGCAGTACAAAAAAAAAGTCTTTGAACCCCTTGGAGCATCAATTTTTTTTTTTGTACTCGGACTAGTTTTGACCGGTCCATTGCAGCCCACGTGTCAGTAAGATGAAGGTTGGGTATATGATTTTAGCCAAAGCTGAGAGGCTGCTGGAGGCTTCCCAACCACTGTACCCGCTGGTATTAAACACGACTGATAGTGGGGTGCATGTATTGCTACCTACCACGGCTGGTGTGATGAAGGGACGCACTACAGAGCAAGTTTTTTATTGGAACGACGTTTTGAGTTTTGAGGATCTTTATCAAGATATAGAGAGGGGTCCGTGGTTCGATCCCCGACAAAGTGAAAACGTTTGGCATGTTTCCTTACACCTGCTGTCCCTATTAACCCAATAATAATATAGGTACCTGGGGTGTTAGTCGACCGTTGTGGGTCTACCCCAGAGAGTGGAAGTATACCTTAGATATGCCTGGGCTTTGAAATCAGCATATAATCATGTTAGGGTAAGAAGTATTATTGAGATATTTTATTTTACCTAATTAACTTAAGACACTGTTTTCTTACTTTTACCCTTTAGTGAATATTAGAATCATAACTGACATAGACAGAGATATAAGCCACAGCACCGTGTCCTCCTTTGCTGACGATATCAGAACTTGAATGACAGTGTCATCCACTGAAGACACTGCAAATCTCAAAGCAGACATTAATCAAGTCTTAAATGGACCTCAGAAAATAAAATGAAGTTCAATGAAGACAAATTTCAATTACTCTGCTATGGAAAACTCGAGGAAATAAAAACTGGATCGGAGTATAAAACAAATTCCAACCACATAACAGAGCGAGAAACTAATGTGAAGAACCTAGGAGTGATAATGTAAGAGAATCTCACTTTCAAAGATCACATCAATGTCTCTACCTCATCTGCTAAGAAACTGAAAGGATGGATAATGAGAACCTTCAAAACTAGGGATACCAAGCCAATGATGATTCCCTTCAAATTGCTTGGTCTCTCTTGGCTGGAATATTTTTATTCACTTACGGCCCCTTTCAAGACAGGAGAAATTGCAGACCTAGATAATATACAGAGAACTTTCAGTACACATATAAGTACCATAAATTAAAACCTAAATTACTGGGAACGGTTGAAGTTCCTTGACTTATACTCCCTGGAACACAGGCGGGAAAGATATATGAGAATATGAACTTTTGAAATCCTAGAGAGACTAGTCTCAAATCTGCACCCGGAAATCACTCCCTTCGAAAGCAAAAGACTCGGCAGGAGATGCAACATCCCTCCAATGAAAAGCAGGAGCGCCGCGAGTACGAAGAGACAACACTATATGTGTCAGGAGCCCAAGACTGTTCAGCTGCCTCGCAGCATACGTAAGGGGGATTACCAATAAGGACCTTAATGAAAATAAGTCACTTTATCTGACTTCTTTGGGTTATCCTAGATTCTCTACACATATGCTGCTGTGTATGATAATCTTTGTAACTGTATTTTTGTGTATCTGAATAAACTTACTAATAGACCCCTGGCTGTCTTTAAGGCGGCGCTGGACAGGCACCTAAAGTCAGTTCTTGAGGACAGGAGGGTCAGAGGAGACATGATAACAACATACAAAATACTGCGTGAATAGACAAGGTGGACAAAGACAGGATGTTCCAGAGAGGGGACACAGAAACAAGGGGTCACAATTGGAAGTTGAAGACTCAGACGAGTCACATGGATGTTAGGAAGTACTTCTTCAGTCACAGAGTCGCCAGGTAGTGAAATAGCCTAGCAAGTGATGTAGTGGAGGCAAGAACCATACATAGCTTTAAGACGAGGTATGACAAAGCTCAGGCAGTAGAGAGAGAGGACCTAGTAGCGAGCAGTGAAGAGGCGGGGCCAGGAGCTGAGTATCGACCCCTACAACCACAATTAGGTGAGTAAACACACAAGGTGGACAGAGACAGGATGTTCCAGAGATAGGACACAGAAACAAGGGGTCACAATTGGAAGTTGAAGACTCGGATGAGTCAAAGGGATGTTAGGAAGTATTTCTTCAGCCACAAAGTTGTTAGGAAGTGGAATAGTCTGGGAAGTGATGTAGTGGAGGCAGGATCTATACATAGAGCGGGTAAAGTGACTGAGTAGCGACCAGTGAAGAGGCGGGGCCAGGAGCTGAGACTCAACCCCTGCAATCACAACTAGGTGAACACACACACACACATATATATATATATATATATATATATATATATATATATATATATATATATATATATATATATATATATATATAATATATATATATGTCGTGCCGAATATGTAAAACTGGTCGATTAGCAAGAACTCATTTAAAATTAAGTCCTTTCTAAAATTTTCTCTTATACGTTTAAAGATATATTTTTTCATTAATGTTGATGTAAAAATTAATAATTTTGCACCAAAAGGAACTTAGAAAACTTACCTAACCTTATTATAACAAGCGCAATTTATTTCAGCCTAACCCAACTAAATATATTTTAGATTTGTTTACAATAATTTAATACTAAACAAACACAGTGAAACATATTTTTTTCGTTAGGTTCAGAATGATTTTGGCGAAATTATTGCATACACAAATTTTCACTTGTCCTATATGGCAAGATGAGCGTTGCTATTTAAGCCAAGATCGCAAGTTCTGCCTATTCGGCACAACATATATATATATATATATATATATATATATAATATTAAATATATATATATATATATATATATATATATATATATATATATATATATATATATATATATCGTGCCGAATAGGCAGAACTTGAGATCTTGGCTTAAATAGCAACGCTCATCTTGCCATATATGACAAGCGAAAATTTGTGTATAAAATAATTTCGCCAAAATCATTCTGAACCTAACGAAAAAAATATATTTCACTGTATTTGTTTAGTATTAAATTATTGTAAACAAATCTAATATATATTTAGATGGGTTAGGCTAAAATAAATTGTTCTTGTTAAATAGGTTGGTAAGTTTTCTAAGTTCGTTTGGTGCAAATTTATAAATTTTACATCAACATTAATGAAAAAAATATATATATTAAAGTAAAAGAGAAATATTTAGAAAGGACTTAATTTTAAATGAGTTTGCTATTGACCAGTTTACATATTGGCACGACATTATATATATATATATATATATATATATATATATATATATATATATATGTGTGTGTGTGTTAGTATATTCGACTGTGACTTTACCTGTGACTGAACGCTGCACCAATCCCGAGATTAGTTGTCCTCACCTAGGCAGTTCTTCGACTGTGACCACTGTCATGTACATACATCCCACATTAACTCTCTGACCTTGGTGTATCCCACGTCTTTCAGGTTTCATACGCCAGTCTAATTTTCACTAAACCTGTTTTGGGTTACTTGGCAATAAGTGGAAGCTCGATATTACGTCTGCTAAGCGCGAGATCCACCAAACGTACGTAAAGAATAAAAATGGCACAATACCCTGACTGGCTAATGGTCCAAGTCGAACCAAAACGTCGTCGTAAGCTTCAGTCTCCTACGTGCTGGTTATTTGTGTACTCGTGTGTAGCCAGCGATGGGGCTGATTCATCATGTGTGTAGACAACGATGTTGGTGATCCATCAAGTGTGTAGACAACGATGTTAGTGATCCATTATGTGTGTAGACAACGATGTTGGTGATCCATCATGTGTGTAGACAACGATGTTAGTGATCCATTATGTGTGTAGACAACGATGTTAGTGATCCATCATGTGTGTAGACAACGATGTTCGTGATCCATCATATGTGTAGACAACGATGCTGCTGATTCATCCCACTTGTGTTGTCAGTGACGCAGCTGATGTATCACAAGGGTACAACGAGTGATCAACTGGTTTATCGCACGTGTGTAGCCAGTGACGCAGTTGCCTCACACAAGGTCGTCTGGCCTTGACTCTTGCCAATAATCCAGTACCCTGGCAATAAGGAAATTCTTTTAGAATTCTTTTAGAATAATTATATTTGTAAAATTATCTAAACTCTTTCTCTATTACAGAAAAACAGATTTAAGGCCAAAAGGTTCAATTAAGCTCCCAGGTTATCTTATAATTTCATTGCCAGTCCTGATAGTTAAAAAAGAAATCGGTTCTGTCCCCCTGGAACCCAATATTTTTCCATGTTTTCTTATGTATCGAAAGTAAAGCTTGTTTATGTAGAGGTATGAGCATTAAAAACACATAACTCAATCTGCCGTGAGTCAGCGTAACCAGTCTAGCCGATAAATCCCAACAAGTAGCATGAGATATATATAACTTGGCAGTGTCAAGACGCAGGGATTTTCCACGTCCTCTCACAATGTTTCCTAGAAACTCTATCTCTGAGCTTGCATTCTATGCCTTGGTTTTCACGTTGCTGCTCAAATACCCACACTGTTTACTTCTGAGCCTCATTATTCTCCTTGCTGTATCACATCTATTGCCGTTTCCTTGTTACAGCTAAGGAACTCTGTTCTTTAACTGATGTTAAAATGCTAGAGTAACTGACATAACTTGGGGTGGCCCGGTGGCCTGGTGGTTAAAGCTCCCGCTTCACACACGAGGGCCCGGGTTCGATTCCCGGAGGGTGAAAACGTTAGTTAGTTAGTTTAATATGTTTATTATGCACCCCATACCCATCCTGTGGGCGGTAGTCAAAAGATTACAGAGGTACATAATTGGTCCAGGGACTGGACTCCAAAGTTTTGATAGCTGAGCAAGTTACAGAGGTAATGAACTCACAATTTACAAAGGTAATGAACTCACAATTTACAAAGGTAATGAACTCACAATTTACAAAGGTAATGAACTCCTTACACCTGTTGTCCTGTTCACCTAGCAGCAAATAGGTACCTGGGTGTTAGTCGACTGGTGTGGGTCGCATCCTGGGGGACAAGATTAAGGACCCCAATGGAAATAAGTTAGACAGTCCTCGATGACGCACTGACTTTCTTGGGTTATCCTGGGTGGCTAACCCTCCGGGGTTAAAAATCCGAACGAAATCTTATCTTAACTTTTGGGTCAGGGTGTTAGTTTGATGCTGCCGTGTTTCACCTGTTCTTGATTGTCTATCATCTACTGTTTCACCTGTTCTTGATTGTCTATCATCTACTGTTTCACCTGTTCTTGATTGTCTATCATCTACTGTTTCACCTGTTCTTGATTGTCTATCATCTGCTGTTTCACCTGTTCTTGATTGTCTATCATCTACTGTTTCACCTGTTCTTGATTGTCTATCATCTACTGTTTCACCTGTTCTTGATTGTCTATCATCTACTGTTTCACCTGTTCTTGATTGTCTATCATCTACTGTTTCACCTGTTCTTGATTGTCTATCATCTGCTGTTTCACCTGTTCTTGATTGTCTATCATCTGCTGTTTCACCTGTTCTTGATTGTCTATCATCTACTGTTTCACCTGTTCTTGATTGTCTATCATCTGCTGTTTCACCTGTTCTTGATTGTCTATCATCTACTGTTTCACCTGTTCTTGATTGTCTATCATCTACTGTTTCACCTGTTCTTGATTGTCTATCATCTACTGTTTCACCTGTTCTTGATTGTCTATCATCTACTGTTTCACCTGTTCTTGATTGTCTATCATCTGCTGTTTCACCTGTTCTTGATTGTCTATCATCTACTGTTTCACCTGTTCTTGATTGTCTATCATCTACTGTTTCACCTGTTCTTGATTGTCTATCATCTACTGTTTCACCTGTTCTTGATTGTCTATCATCTACTGTTTCACCTGTTCTTGATTGTCTATCATCTACTGTTTCACCTGTTCTTGATTGTCTATCATTTACTGTTTCACCTGTTCTTGATTGTCTAATATCTGCTGTTTCACCTGTTCTTGATTGTCTATCATCTACTGTTTCACCTGTTCTTGATTGTCTATCATCTACTGTTTCACCTGTTCTTGATTGTCTATCATCTACTGTTTCACCTGTTCTTGATTGTCTATCATCTACTGTTTCACCTGCTCTTGATTGTTTATCATCTGCTGTTTGACCTGTTCTTAATTGTCTATCATCTGCTGTTTCACCTGTTCTTGATTGTCTATCATCTGCTGTTTGACCTGTTCTTAATTGTCTATCATCTGCTGTTTCACCTGTTCTTGATTGTCTATCATCTACTGTTTCACCAGTTCTTAATTGTCTATCATCTGCTGTTTCACCTGTTCTTGATTGTCTATCATCTACTGTTTCACCTGTTCTTGATTGTCTATCATCTACTGTTTCACCTGTTCTTGATTGTCTATCATCTACTGTTTCACCTGTTCTTGATTGTCTATCATCTACTGTTTCACCTGTTCTTGATTGTCTATCATCTGCTGTTTCACCTGTTCTTGATTGTCTATCATCTACTGTTTCACCTGTTCTTGATTGTCTATCATCTACTGTTTCACCTGTTCTTGATTGTCTATCATCTACTGTTTCACCTGTTCTTGATTGTCTATCATCTACTGTTTCACCTGTTCTTGATTGTTTATCATCTGCTGTTTGACCTGTTTTTTAATTGTCTATCATCTGCTGTTTCACCTGTTCTTGATTGTCTATCATCTACTGTTTCACCTGTTCTTGATTGTCTATCATCTGCTGTTTCACCTGTTCTTGATTGTCTATCATCTACTGTTTCACCTGTTCTTGATTGTCTATCATCTACTGTTTCACCTGTTCTTGATTGTCTATCATCTACTGTTTCACCTGTTCTTGATTGTCTATCATCTACTGTTTCACCTGTTCTTGATTGTTTATCATCTGCTGTTTGACCTGTTCTTAATTGTCTATCATCTGCTGTTTCACCTGTTCTTGATTGTCTATCATCTACTGTTTCACCTGTTCTTGATTGTCTATCATCTACTGTTTCACCTGTTCTTGATTGTCTATCATCTACTGTTTCACCTGTTCTTGATTGTCTATCATCTACTGTTTCACCTGTTCTTGATTGTCTATCATCTACTGTTTCACCTGTTCTTGATTGTCTATCATCTGCTGTTTCACCTGTTCTTGATTGTCTATCATCTGCTGTTTCACCTGTTCTTGATTGTCTATCATCTACTGTTTCACCTGTTCTTGATTGTCTATCATCTACTGTTTCACCTGTTCTTGATTGTCTATCATCTACTGTTTCACCTGTTCTTGATTGTCTATCATCTACTGTTTCACCTGTTCTTGATTGTTTATCATCTGCTGTTTGACCTGTTCTTAATTGTCTATCATCTGCTGTTTCACCTGTTCTTGATTGTCTATCATCTACTGTTTCACCTGTTCTTGATTGTCTATCATCTACTGTTTCACCTGTTCTTGATTGTCTATCATCTACTGTTTCACCTGTTCTTGATTGTCTATCATCTACTGTTTCACCTGTTCTTGATTGTTTATCATCTGCTGTTTGACCTGTTCTTAATTGTCTATCATCTGCTGTTTCACCTGTTCTTGATTGTCTATCATCTACTGTTTCACCTGTTCTTGATTGTCTATCATCTGCTGTATCACCTGTTCTTGATTGGCCATCATGCTGAATATTTTCAGTCACTTTCTCAGGCTATTACAGAGTACAGTATATACTAGCTCCAAATCTGGAAGGCGTGACACAGCTGCAAGTTTTTTTCTACTCTCTTGATCCATGGATACTTAGTGGAGAAAACATACCTGAATAACCTTTACAGTTAATTTTTTTGTGTAAAAATAAAATAATAGTAATGGTAACAGACAGTTATTTTTATTTCTGAGTTATACACCAGTCATCCTCACGGTAATAATGTTGGTAGAATTACCAACAATATGTTAGGTAAAAGGACACATGTGCAATTAATGCGACATTTTATTGTGGCAACGTTTCGCTCTCCTGTAGTTTTGTCGCATTATACAATACATTACAACTTTATATATTTTCTGCAGTATACAAAATGTAGTTTACAGGTAATAAAATATTGTTAAGCATGCGTGTCCTTTTGCCTAACATCCTCAGGGTATTAAGTCTTCATATCCAGAACTTTGACTCCCCACATATACTTGTACTTTGCACTCAGTACTTCTTCAGTTGCATCATAAGCAGACACAAAGCTATTTTTTTTTAACTCGGCTCTTGTAAATTAAGGTGTTCTTGGTACACAAAACTGCGATAAAACACCTGGGAACGCTTGAAGTTCCTCAACCTGTGTACTCCATAGAACGCAGGCGGGAGAGATACACGATTATATACGCTTGGAAAATCCTAGAAGGATTAGTACCAAACTTGCACACGAAAATCACTCCTTATGACAGCAAAAGACACGGCAGACGTTGCAACATCCCCACAATGAAAAGCAGGGGCGCCACTAGCACGATAAGAGACAACACGATAAGTGTCAGGGACCCAAGACTGTTCAACTGCCTCCCAGCATACATAAGGGGGATTACCAGTAGACCCCTGGCTGTCTTCAAGAAGGCTTTGGACAGGCACCTGAAGTCAGTAACTGAGCAGCCGGGCTGTGGTTCGTACGTCGGGTTGCGTGCGGCCAACAGTAACATCCTGTTTGATCAGGCCCTGATCCATCATGAGGCTTGGTCACAGACCGGGCCGTGGGGGCGTTGACCCCCGAAACCCTCTCCAGGTATACTCCAGGTCTCCAGGTATACTGAACTCACGGATTCTTCTGTGAGTTCAACTGTTCAAGATCTTTCAATCCTTAACATGTGCCCTTTTACGAATATTCCAGCACTTTCTATGAGACCATTGGTAAAGTCGCTGATCCTTGAGGGGGAGGCTTTTTGAAGTCTATGAGGGGCTCTTGATCATAAGAATGGGACATCCTCTCCTCTTTGGATCAAACCGGAATGCCTCCCATTTCCCTTGCGCTGAATGACCCCTACGGGTATACCTGGGGAGGGTTTCGGAGGTCAAGTTCCCCTCGGCCCGGTCTGAGACCAGGCCTGA